CAGAAATCTCAATCACCCAAGACATGACCTTTTTCTGAAGTCAAGAGCAACCTGATGATATGAATAGCTCATTTCTTATTTCTGAGCTTGTCAAGCTCACTTTCTTCCACTGTGTCTCTTTCCAGTGAATGGATTTCATGGCAACAGTGGCCCATTGCATCAGACAGAGCAGTCACATGTACCAACACAGAAGGCCAACACAGATCAACAGGTAGGACTGATCTGCAAGATATCTGCTTCTTTATTTAACTTCATAACACTATCTGTCTCTGCTTAAGCTGAAACTTACGAAAGTGGTCTTTCATCAGTCCTCAGAAATATTATGAAATTGTTTCCACACACTCACACAGCAAAAAAAAATAGACTACCTGTGAGGCAGACATTGAGAGCACTAAAGAAATCAGTACCTAAACCTCTGGTTTATATGCAGATTATTATAGAACAGGATGACTTGCCTAGCCTGTCCTCCCACTCAGTCTGTGTTTAGCATTAGAATAACATCCATGCGAAACCTGGTAATAATGTAATGTTTCTTGCATTATAATTGCACACAGTACAGTGTAGATCATGGGCATTGAGAAATAGGAGTGCTTTTGTATCATAGTCTTATTGCGGTCCACATGAACACACTATAGTAATATAAAGGAGGTTAAAATGTTGAGCATGAAGGAGTGTCCAAGATCCTCTATAAGTATCTCCAACCTAGACAGGAAGAGCCTTAGTGATTTTATTCATCCCAAGGGAGGTTTACCAAAAAAATGTGACGTGGTCTGGGAAAACCCTTCAGATGTTGCTGTGGCTGAATTCTGGCCAGAAGCCAAAAAAAAGAGTCAAAAAAAGTTTTGCCCAAAATTAGATTTTTCTGCCTATAATATAATTTTAATATCCTATGAACATATTTGACCAAAATGATGTGGAGATTTGTATTTACATTTTATACTTGTTTAGAGCTAGGCTTCTTGCAAAGATCACAGTGTGTACGGAGCCAGTTTAGAACATGTGGTGGTATAAACAGTCAGTCTGCCTAAAGATGAAACCTTCTGAGCTAAGTGTGATTTTTTCAGACAGTGAATGTCACACTTTTTCACATAAGCCTAATCAATTCAGTTTGTAATCAGATACCAGCCGTCTATAATGCTCCTATGCCATAGTTGAAATGAAGTGTAACTTTGTCCCTTTTCACTTTTTGGGGTGTAACCAGACTTTAAAACTTTTTTTGCAAAAAGGACTCATATTTCAGTTCACAGAAGTCTAGCTTTCCTGCCTATATATAGTAGAAATTATAAAAATTTCTCCATGTTTGCTGAATGACGATTATCATCTAAATCCTATCTTAAATCAACCTATGGTACTTTATGCATTACCTGAAGCCAAGAAGATCAAAATCTGGTTTGAGCCAACATATTCAGCTGAAAGAATGTGTCGTTCTTAGAATGGTCAATAGCAAATGAGCCGAACTCAGAACAGTTAGAGCATGGATGAGTATTATTGAAAGTCTTTCAGATTTAATATTACAATATGTTAATAGAATTGCTTACAATTGAATTGCTTTGATGTATAGATGTAATGCTTGATGCTGACTACATCTGTAGGTCAGTATGAGCTTTGGGTGTGGTCTGCGTGTGTGAAGACAGCTGCCTTATCATCTGATACTTATAGAAATCACAAAGAAATTCACCATGCAAAGGGTTTTCCCAGGCCACTAAACATCTTTGAAGAGGTGCCAATAGATTTGAAAAACAGTGTTTTGCATACACTTTGGACTACTTGTGAATTTTAATGTTTGGATGAAAATGACAACTTTGTGACAGTTCATCACAGAAAACCCTTATAGCAGCCCCTCCTCGTGGTCATCATGGCAATAATAATAACAACAACAAAACATGTGGCAAGCACAATTTGAATTCCTCTTATGGAGGGAAGTTGAAGATGCGTAATGTTTTCTTCCCCAGAGCCCAGTGTCCACATCTCCAAGGAAAACAGAGCACAAGACCTCAGTCACGGTGAGTATTGTGAACAAAAGGAGCAGTAGCTGGATATCTACAGCATACTCCCATAACACTCTGCACAGTACAGAGATAAGCAGCAGCTGCCAAACCAGGACAGAAATCACGCTGAGCAAGTCCATCTGGTGGTTTAGATGCAGTTTCACTTTCTTCAACGTCATAACTTTTTTTTTTTTTTTTCAGAATGTCAGTTTTTATAATCCTATGATAGTCGTATCAGATTCTGGCATACAGTGTTAGTGCCGAAACAAATATCTGTTCTTGTGCTGTAGATCTGTCATATGGTCGGAAAAAAAGAAAGTTTGAATAGATTGCGTATGAAGGGACCGAATGAGCTCTGTGAGGAATAATCAGAGCTAACTTTCAACCCAAAGCGAAGGCAAGCCACAGGATATCAGGGGTAACGGGGCAGTATATCTTTGTTTTCCCTGCACTGTTGATTTAAAGCATTTATATGGAATGAACCCACCGGATGTGTTTTCACTACTAGGTTTACAGGGTCATTCAGGTTAGTGGAGCTGGTTAATTAAATGGGGTAGCATGGGGTTTAAAGGCTTTTCATAGATTAGTTATGTATCAGTGTTATTCCTCATTCATTCATTCATTCATTCATTTTCCTTACACTTTTCGAAGTGGCAACAAGCTGATTGGGTCAGTCTATTCCCAGCCACAGATTCCAGCTCTTCCTGGGAGATCCCCAGACATTCCCAATCTCTTCAGCTCTTATTGGGTCTACCCTGATACAGCTCTACCAGGAGTCATCCTTGTAAGGTGCCCAATCCACCTCGTCTCTTAGTTAAGAGGAGCAGCAGTTATAATATCGCTGCTGCTGCTGAGGATGGCCCCATGCGGACAGCCTAAGGTGACATGAGGTTAAAGTGGATGGTACCACTAAGAAACCATGAAGATGGATTTGGTTTCTTCCTCATGTCGTCACCTCTGGCTTGCTCATTAGGGACATATTCACAATTGTAAAATGTAAAATTTCTATAATGGATTTATATGTTTCTGTAAAGCTGCTTTGTGAGAATATCCATTGTTAAAAGTGCTATACAAATAAAACTGAATTGGAATGAATTGCATTAGTATGAGGTCTGCCCTATCACAGAGAGTAAACCCTTCAACCCAGTGGAGGAACCTCATTTCCACCACCTGTACTCATGACCTTATTCTTTCATTCAGTATTCACAGTTTGTAACCATAACACGGTTAGTATATTAGTGTGCTATAATCCATCCAGCATTGTTTTGTTACCCTGTCTAGTTAGTTTTAGTGTATTTACTTTATATTTTACACTTGTCTCACATTGGCGTGTTTGTGCTATCATGACAACAATGCTGTCAAAACTATATTTTATGTAAGTTACATAGGAATGACAATAAAACCCACATGAGTTGATTTATACTATGCAGTTTAACTCCTGACAATGAAAGGCCTGTGACAAAAGTTTGACTACTAAATATATGTCTTAATGAAAGTCTTAAGTAATTATTCTGGTCTTTCTGTTGATTTTACATCACATTAATAGTGTAGTAATGCACAGATACCTTATAAAGAACTGCCACAAACAATAACAGTAATATAAGGCTTATTACTGAAATATACACATTAGTTACTGAAGAATAAGCAGTATAGTATAGCATATGATAAGGATATCTGTATAATTCTCTAAACTAACCTAAATATCACTGTGTTACAAAATAAAATGCAGTTTTACAAATGGTTCATAGGTCAAAGCCTTTGATTTTAGTGTATCGATGAATTCACTGAGATTAAACTTTGTTTTGGCTGATGCATTTTGCTTGACTAACAGTTCTAACTGTTAGCTAACAGTTCGATTTTATAATCATGTTTCCATATAAATAAATCAGAATCAACTCAAATAATTACGATCCGCTCAAATTTCTTGATTATGTAATAATTGGGACAGGCCTCAACAGGGATGTTATATCATTGAAACATTAGCTAATATTCTCCCTAAAGTTCACTTTAGCAATAAACTAATATACAAGTAAAAGATCAGTGAAAGGCTTCAAGTCATCTGATTGTTTAACCACGTGCTTCTCTGAACAGAAGTTTTTTTAAAGTGCAGCAATAAAAAAGGAACTGATTCCATGTGAGGAGTTGCCATAAAGCTTCTCAGATGTCACGCATTAGAGAGCTCAAAAAGCATAGGACACAAGTAAGCAAAATGTGAACCAGAGGGAAATGAGAAATCGGTTTCCTTTCAAAAAGCCAGCATGATTCTGCTCATGAAACCTGTAGAGTTGAGAATGAACCAACATCATGGACTGACGACTTTGTCATTTATAAGTGTTCAGCCTACAGTAGGATCTGATGAGGAAAATTTTAAACTATTTGGAATGTGTTCAAGAAGTTTATTTGACAAGATTTTCAGCTGATTCTGAGATTTCTAGGTAAAAACTTGCTGAAATACATTGCTGGGTTGGGTTAAAGTACCGTGTTAAAGTGCAAAAGCTGCCTAAACTTTCTCCATAGACTCTAACTTTTACACTTTAGGGTTGGTTTTGCAGCTAATTTCGTCTCATACGTCAGTCTGAGTCAGTGCCACAGGATTGTGTGACTCAGTGTCATGAATTTAATGCAGAGACTTTTTTAACTATGAGTCTGTAAGTCCTTACAAAGTTTGGCATTTTACAAATTAAGTGTATGAAATTGTCCCAAATGCAAATTTACATGGTCTTAGACATTTGTGTTGTAGACTGTATTTCTGTGGTTAATTCTGTCTTGAAATCACTCACATGAGATGAGGGAAGTGTTAAATTGAGACTAATGTTATGAAATATAACAGGACAAGAAGCCAGTGAAATGCTTTTCCTCATACATTGAAGCTTATAAGGAGGCTGGAGTCAGAGCACAGGATCAGCCATGATGCAGCACCCCTGGAGCAGAGGAGGTTAAGGGCAGTGTTGGGGCTTGAACCCCCAGTAACCCAGCACATTAACCATTGAGCCACCACTGCCCTGTACTGGTCAGCAGCAGTGGGATTCAAACCCACACCCCCCCAAAGAGACTGGAGCCTTAATCCAGTACCTAAGACCACTCAGCCACACTACCTTCTGTGTATGTGTGAAAGACTGCTTCACCACTAGCAGCAGAGACCGCTGGGGCCTGGCTTAAGCTGGTTTTCAATCCTATAAAAGGAGCCTGTGGAGATGCTGGGGTTTGAACCCAGGACCTCATACATGCGAAGCATGCGCTCTACCACTGAGCTACATCCCCTACGGATGTGCTTTCTTCTGCAATTCTTTTCTGCTAGTCTGTGAAGTGGCACTGAAAAAGTTATCAGTTTCACTTGAGGATACCTGCAAGCACCATGGTTTCAATCATTTCTTTTTGTATGTACTGACTGGCAGATGTAAGAGGGATGTGACAGGCATGTGCTGAGTGTGTGATCTTCTTGTTCGAGGATTGAGCAGACTGAGGACTTTGAGAAGCAGCTTGTCGTGTTGTTTTGGAGAGCTCTGAGAGCCCATCGTTGCTAGCTTATTCACTCTCTTCTCAGCAAAGTTGCTTGGGAGTTAATGTGAAGACAGATAAAGCTCCTATTGTGAGGCCACAGATCCCTGGGCCTAAGTCATCAGAGTGCCTAGTGTGGAATGCTGGGAGGATTAGACAGACATTACAGAATGCCTCTGTGCTCCTGGGGTAGTTCATGTTGCCTTTCAAGACTGTATATTTATTTTTATGACTTAAACAAAGATCAGATCACATTTTAGGAGCCACCCATGCATTCGAGTAATTCCACAGGGCTCAATGACTTTTACTCAAAAGTTTTTGAAAGAGTGAGCAAGAGTTTTATGAGTAGTTTGAGACACACTACTAGTGTTATGATGTGCTCAACATGGTGCACATAAAAATCGTTGCACAATTATTATTTATTACTAATTGTCATAGGGGAGGTTAACAGTCATGGTTGAATTCACACATGTGATAAGTGCACTCAAGGCCTACCCAAGAAAGCAAAACTATAATGCGGATTTAATACAATTATTCCTAAGAATTTCCAAGAAGCTTATTGCTTCAAAAAATGCAAAAAAAAAAAAAAAAAATCTTTTTTATAAGTGGGATAATAATGCAAGCAAAACGAACTCTTAGTCCCTGATTTACTAAGAGCCCAAATAATGTGGCTAATTTGCATGTGCATGGGGATAAATTGCGCATGCAAAAAGTGGGCGTATTGCAGAAGATTAACAAAAAGTAATTGTGTGAATTGCATCACACACAAAGTGGAGGGAGGAAATAGTATGTAAATAAGGTTTTTGTGTGTATTCTTTGTTCTTGAGAGTTCCCGTGAATCCTGGAAGAGTAAAAAAAAAAAAAAAAAAAAAAAAAAAAAAGAGGAGGAGAAAAAGGAGAACTTGACATAGTTACCAGTGTGATGCCACTTAAAGGCTGTGAGATGTGACAGGAAGTAGTAGTGTCTATTTAAATGTTATTGGCTTCAGAGGTGTGAACGTACAACAAAAATATTCATTCTTTCATCTTCAGTAACTGCTTTTTCCTGGCCAGAGTTGTGGTAAATACTGGGTGAGAGAGATAGGAATACGACCTCGATGGGATGCCTGTCACCATGGCCAGTCCAGAATGTTTTTGGAGTTGAGACGAAACCAGAGGATCAGCGTGGACATGGGGAGAACATGTGAAACTCTACAAGACAGTAGCCTGAAATGAGGATTAATCCGAGGACCCTGGAGCTGTGAGGCAGCAACACTACACCAGGCAGCGAATATCTAATATGAAACCATCCAACCACTGAAATTCAACATTTTAAGAACCTTTCTGATCCTTATCACCAAATGATGTATACTCTTGATAAACATTTATCATTAAATCATACTGAGTGGTCTAATTTTGGCATCACCTAGCAGAAACAGACTTCCACAAATATAAGACCTGCTCTTCAGTCATATGGATTTGCAGAAACAAATACAGTCCGTGCCTCTCAGGCTTACTAAATTGCAATTTATATGCTAAATTAACATATTTGCATTGACACCACGCTGTATTTTGCACTTTAGAAACATCCCAAACTGAATATTCATTAAGGCAAACACAAAATTCAACAACACATGCTATTTTGGCTGATGTGATAGACAAATCACCTTGCACGTTTTTTTGTGGGTGTTATCATGTTTGCACGTTTTTACACATTCAAACCTTTAGTAAATCAGGACCTTAGACTAAAGAGGTATAAGTTAATCTCTGAGAAGAATTTGCAGATTGTAAATTTGTAAGCAGTCTAGACATCGCCAGATGCCTTGCAGATGTTTTCGCTCTGTTTAGCGCTCTGCTGCGACAGGGAGCTGCGAGCTGTCGTTAGACAGGCAGTGAGAAACACATCTGTTATTAGTCAGTCTTGCTGTCACAACGCTGTGCTGTGTTCAACCTGAGAACAGAACTCATTGTCATACGATGCGGAATAAACAAAACAAATTTAGCCTCAGAGGCGAACCACGGGCACTGCAAAGCCTGTATGAAGAAGGTGTTGATTAATGACACTCATTTGCTGTGTGCTGCTGATTTATGTAGAACTTATGAAGATCATTAGATAACATTCACATGTAGAAGGAAATGGACCTGGAGCTCGGCTCGTAGCAGTAAATGTTGATAATTGCACAGCCAAGCAGCAGCTGTGTGGAGCTGCAGTGATTACTAGCTGCATTTACACACTGTATGTTTTCACATTTTGTTTTTGAAAGGAACAGCAGATTTAAAGGATGAATGCTCTTTGTGTATCTCTTGTGGTATAGTGCAGGGTGGCCATGTGACTATAGCGTGGGTGCGGCTCAATATACAATGCCCACATAGAGACGATTGGTGACTGTGACTGTGATTGTAAGCAAATCTCACAGGACGAAAGCTCATGTACATGTTAAATGATTTTTAAATAACTGAAATCACTTATCATGTGCTGAAAATAGTGCTACAGATGTTGTTAGCATGGCCATATGGGCCAAGATTCATGTGATTTCTTGCTTTCTCCTCTTTCTAGTCTCCCAGCAGCCTTCTAAACGGCACACAGCTGGCTCACATACACACTGTCGCTAGAGCTACTACTACTCACTTATATTTACAGGACAGAAAACACTCAGGGGAAAAACAGAGATTGGATATGCGGTTGTTTGATGGTATGTAGCTGTTCTTTAGGTTCGGAATACAAGCGAATCCTGGCACATGGAACAACAACATGTTTTCAACCACAGCTGGAAAATCAAACATTGTGGGCAGTGACATTGTTTGCAGTGGTGGGAATGAAATGAAAAATACTGTAGTCCTGTTATATCACAGTTGCTTTGGTCTGATGTTTAACCTGATAAAACATGATGGGGCATGGTGTTGTTGGAAACGATCCACGCCATGGTGTGTGATATCGCTCGGATTGTTTTCCTGTAAGCGCACATCATCAAGTGTTTATTCCTCTTATGCCACAGTGATGTGGCAGTGATTTATTTATTTATGACCATTTATAGTTCAATTTAATATTGTGGAACATCTGTAATAACATCCTTATCACTTAGATAGTTGTTAAGCAGTTATAAACAGCAGTTCCCTTACCTACCTCTCTTTTTTTCCTCTCTGTTGTAGTTAATAAGACAAAGAAACACAGCTTGTCATACTACTGAGAAAGCAGAAAGTGCATAATCCTATGTCTTGAATACTTTCCCATGGCTTATTGACCGTTACAACACACGGACACTGGACACTCCTTCCATAAATGTTAAATAAACGTCTTACAGCTTACAGAAATCTTCACCATATCACTGATCATACGTTTTTCACTGTTAAATAACAACCCTTTTCAGTCTGTTTATTATTAGTCTTAGATTATCCACCAAAAGAGCTGTTACTTAGAAACAATAACATATACAAATGAGCACATTAATATAGATCTATCATTTTAATTACTAGTCAATAATAATAATAATAATAATAATAATAAGCTTTTGTTATGTACAACAAGTATTACACAGCACTGCCTTTACTTATCTTTTCTAACGTGATGTGACTATTTGATTCTCTTTCTCAGCAAATCAACTGCGTGACGTTCCCCCTCCCGTTACACTCCTCCGAACAGCAACTGCTCAAACCAGGCGAGTGGAGCTACTGCGATTATTTTTGGGTAAGGGAACAGCAGAGACAGGAATTCAGAGTTGTATCGTCTTGATGTTTTTCTGCACACACATGAAGAAAACCTAATAATACAAGTTTGTCCATGGGTGTGATAAAAGATGCTTGACTCATGTCATAGTGCATTAAGTCGTCCATGGCTAGTTGTGTGTCTTTTTTATTAAACTTTTTTTTGTGTGTGTCAACCTGGGCAATACCAGAAGAAAAGGATTATGTGAAAGACTAGAAACATACACGTCATTCCCTAATTTCTAATTCTAGTTCTTCTAATTTGTAACCTCAGAAATTCAACTCACATTATTAGCATGAACTACTGCAATTGTTTAAATAAAGGCTGTACAGATTGTTCGTGTAAAGAGTAACACACGACAAACCGTGCAGTTAATATCAATATTAATAATCCATGCCGGGGTGGAGTGATGCGGCACGACACTAAGTGGATTATTTCCATATAACCTCACTTTCAGGCGTATGCTATTCCACGTATACCACAGCGATTTGCCAACAAGTACAATGTTTAAATTATTACTGAATGACACATTGCACATTTTTACAGTTTTTAGTTTAGATTAAATGTCATGCAACATCTGAGAGACAAATTCCTATTATCACTTATATCCACGATAAGCAGTAGTTCCCTTAGCAGCATCTACTTTTCTCTTTCTATCACTTAATCAAATCTCTCTCTCTCTCTCTCTCTCTCTCTCTCTCAAAAACGCAGTCTGTCATTTTACTAAGAAACCAAAAATGTACCTCTGTCCTGAACTTTCCTGTGCTGGGAAACTTTGCAAAGCAGCATGATTGTTGCAAAGTGCTTACAACTGAGACTCTTTCGATAAAAAAAATGCTTCCTAAAAAAATGCCACTGGATCAACAATTTTACAACTAATTTACATTTTGATTTGTTAAACAAAAACACATTTTAA